CTGACATTTTGCTTCCAAAGGGAAGGGTTTTGCAAATTAATGATACATTCAGTGACAATACAGTATATCCTGTTAAACCATTACGTTGCATGCAATATGCACAAAAACACCTTTGCTATTTTGCTCTACGTGTCTATTCACCCATTGAGTGGGCAGCACCCTCCCCTGATGTGTAAAATCATCTGGCGAGTGGTGTTAGACTGAGTAAAGTAATAAAGTGGGGCGCATATGGATGCATTGCCACTTAAGGGTTAATACAGCCAATTTTACTTGTCCATAAGGAATGTTCTTGTCATTATAATGGTTCAATCAAATTAATGGAAATGTCTGTTGTAAAATACGAAACTGTAATGTCACAGGGGATATGTCTCTTACACTTTTATAATATCATGATAATCTCTTTCTATTTTAATTAAAAGACCAAGCTGTTTTCAAGTGTCCATATGCATTGGAAAAGTTATAAAATGTCATGGCAATCCAAAGTGAAGGAAATGCGAAATACTGTGCATACAGTATCAGGTATCAGTGATGGGATCAAAACAAAAACGCTCCATGAAAGAGACAATGTCAACCACAATGCATTGTGTGCTTTTTAGTGTGAAGTTTCTTCGAAACTTCACAGTATTGTGATGACTGGGGGGGAAATTCAAAATTATCAGTCATTCAGTCAGTCATTCATTCAGTCATACAGTTAACTTTCCGGGGGGTGTATACGATTTATGTTCGTAGTGATTTATTGTGCTTTGTCAGTATTTTGAAGGTTATTTAAGCAATTTCAGTTAACTTATTTACATATTCTGTTATCCTTTTGCCAAGTTCACAAAACTTTCGAGGAATCGCTTTTGTTATTGTAATTTTTTGTAAATTTTAGAACATTCGCTTCTCATGTTGTGTAAAGGATCTTTAATCCGGAACACCCGATTTTTCTTTAGTAGCGCAAATGCGCATGCACTATCAAGATCACGATGGCATGATGATATCACTGGACGATATGCTAGGAAGGAGTGGCATTCAATTGAGTACTGATATTATTTTCACGGTATACTCATTATACGGAGATACAGTACGTACGAAGAAGCGAGACAGTGTTGTTTTCAAGTATATAAACATTTCAGACATGAATATTGAGAAAATCTTTGAGATTCTACTCAATAATATAATATATAAATTGATGTTATGATTACCGGCATTCAATTAAGTGCCCATTGATATTATTTAGACTGTGTATTCATTATACATTGTCATTGACTGTATAAGGTGCTACATCACAGAACTCAGTACAAAGAGCGAAAAATTGCATCAGATCAATAAAGCGTAAACAACTATTAAAGGGTATGGGCAATGAAAATTTCTTCATCTATCTTATTGCTTCATCTGAAAGAGCATGAAAAAATAAGCCGATTGGCCGTTTACTGCTCTATTCTATCTCATCTGGTTCCGAAGTTATACGCAAAAATGTGCAAAATATAAATTGCTGATTCAGCACAACGTGTGACGTCATTAGCTGGGTAAGTATGTTTATTGAATACTACACTGAAGCATAGCTCAGTTATTATGGGCCCAAATCAAATGAAATTTTGGACAATGATTGTACATGATGAGACGCATGGAAAAACACTTCTAATTTTGTTGCCAAGGTAACAATGTCGTTCCCAGACTCCTTGCGCCAATTTTATAAAACAGCTTTATTCAGGTACTGATAAAAATAAAATAATATCAGAAGTATGTGTACGACACCTATGCATGCCGAAAGTTTACTTGCATGATAATAATTCGAAAATGACATACACATAAAGAAATGTAACCTGAGTATCAGGCCCCCGGTATTGAAGAGAGCCTGACACAATTCGCCTCTACGGGCTTTCCACCCCCAGAATATCAGCCAATTAAAATTATTTCCGGTTGTAAGCATATTTCCGGTTGTCCGCTACAGGTATGTAAATACGCAAGATATCCGGAGAACACTGTATAATTTTGTAAAAATTATAATTTAATATATATATATATATATATATATATATATATATATATATATATATATATATATATATATATATATATATATATATATATATATATATATATAATTCAGTCAAGGTTTGAATGTTTGCGTCGCTACTCTGAGTTTCACGCTTTACGCGATCATCAGGCAACAACCTGATGATCGCGTAAAGCGTGAAACTCAGAGTAGCGACGCAAACATTCAAACCTTGACTGAATTAATTCCGCTCTACTTATTATGGTATTGAGTGCTCTTCTACCTTACGTCAACTCATCGACTATTTTTTTGAATATAGTCTTCACTGCAGGGGCGGATTTAGACCGTTGCAACTGTAGCATATGCTACGGTCAGATTTTCCCTAGGCCAGTTCTAACATGGATCATAAAATCAATCTAAAATATAATTTAGCAATATTTTGTTTACTTTCCTTGTTTATATTTCAAGGTTTTATTTTATTTAGTTTTATATGTTCTAAAACATTTTATTTTGACAAATTGATGACATTTATAATACGTAACGTTAATTGTTTTAAGAATTCCCGCCCGAAAATACGGTTGTAATTGCCCGTTTGCGGGTCATTACGCAATGGACTATAGCTTAGAAAATATCATCCTGCAGAAATACACCGTAGCGTGTTGCCCATATATGATCAATTTTCGCTACGGTCAGATTCATTAAGGTCGAATCTGACCGTAGCGAAAATTGGCATATACGGCATTCTGATTGGTTTGCTACGGTCAAACGTAGCAAACCAATCGGAATGGGGCAAATGCTATAGTTTGCTACGGTGGCATGAAATTGGCTACTGCTCCAGAACGATGGAATATCTGATATTTGTGTTTGGCTCATCAACAACATGCTATTGGGAACCCACAGTACGGTTGTGCGCATTTCGAAATGAAAGCCGTCGTAAAGCTAAAGGATTTATATGCGTCGAGGTAGAAATAAAATCAGATAGTAAAACGAATCATTTCCAGTCAGGTAAGCCTTATGAATGATAAGAGATGCACATTATATTTTAATTTGAGTTTTTACTGTATAGTGTTCGCTATTAACTTCGCTTTATTAAAGTGTTTGTGCGCGTATGTACAGTAATACCTGCATGTATTGGAATTAATACGCGAATTATGATACGCGCGTATATATATCGTGTTTTATAGCGCGCTAATATTTGTTTGTAATGCGTATATATTCGTAAGATAGTTAAGATACGCGTATTCATGTCATACGCGCGTTCATATATGATATGCGTATTCGTATGATACACGCGTTCGTAGATGATACGCGCATTTCGGTATTCAATTGATAATGATATGCGTATGATACGAGTATCATACCGATATCGTATGTTAAAATATACGCGAGCAATAGTTTACATTTTGAGATCATTTTGGCTTATTTTTGCTTGAGAAATTAATACAATGAGGACAAATTTAATGGTCACATGCAGTGCTCAGAACGCAGGAAATGGCATTTCCGGGCTTCAAATTTCAACAATTTTCCGGGGGGGCATGCCCCCGGACCCCCTAGGTATGCGAGGTCTTGGAAAATGCTACGGTCAGATTTTTGGCTGGATCCGCCCCTGTACTGGTTCTATGCTCTTTCCATTAACTGTAATACAGATACCCACATATCTAATAACTACTAGTAACTAGTGCACATCATTGGATCAAGAAGAATCTTTCTGATATACTTAGATGCTATTTGTGTTGTCATTGTAGGTTCAACATTCTGTGCCGGAGATTTTGATTACTATAATTTACTAGAAGAGCAGGAATTTGGTATAGATCAGACTTCTAATATTACCAAGTATGTACAGTATAAACATGTTTCACTTACATCATTTAAGCTGACCAACCCATTTAAATAGCACAACTCTGCCCCTGATTCAAACTGTCTGGTATTTGACAGAGATCACAGAGTAAAAGTAATAATGCAGGGCAGGGCACACTTAAGGCAGATTACCATTCGAGGTCTGAAACACAAGCTAAATTGTAATTTTCCTTTCACAAACCCTACACACTGTAAAGATGTGTGTAAAACCATGTAGCTCTCATAACCCTTACTCTGTTAAGTCAAAGACGAAAAATGCAAAATACTTAATATCAAGCAAATAATGACTCATAAATTTAAAGAATAATTTTCTGCAGGTATTACTGTAATCAAGTGAGTTTACCAAATGTTAGACTCTCGAGTTAGTTCCAAACATATCCAGTGTAAATACTATATTGAAACATTTCCACTTCCTTTATATAATTACACTTGTATTTAATATTTTTTATGGGTCCTACTAAATACTGCCCGGAGTGCTCGGGAGCATGTGAGAGCGCCCGGTAGTATACAACATAGTATAAATCAGTGTACAATCCTTTCTGAGCTTCTTTGACGAAAAATAATATTAAAAGTGATTTTCAACCACCTTAGCAACAAACAGTGCAGGACGGCCGCCCAGACAGGAAGCTTTGTGAAACATGAGATTTTAACTTTAATTATGAAATACAATCAATGTATATATATATAATTATATAAATATATAACAAAAATAATTATATAACAAAATGTCAAACTTACTTTCTATGCATGAAGATTGACAATTATGATAAACCATATGACATTTTCAGGATAAAATGGATTTCAGTTCAAGGAATAATATTCAAGGTTGGGTGTGTTTTGTGGATTGGTCATGACGATGAAGAAACTCCATGCTTTGTGGTCCTGAAGGAGATATGCATAATTGAGAGGAACTTGGAGAAGATATTGCTCATTACTGACGTACTGTGCACAGTGTTATTTAATGGCCATTTAAATGCATATGAGGTGAACAACACAGCAAGGTCAAAGATAATTGAACAAAAACAGCTATTATATCCTTTCCCACTACATTTAGTCAATGCTGTATTTCAAGGATATGCCAAAATGTTTGTGTGCCCAAAATATCAAATGCCAGTTACATAAACATGAAGATGAATTAATAATCAATATACTTCTAGCAAATCTGAGTATAACAGCGTACATCAATGCTGTAAATGCAAGATATTTTGGAGCGATTATTATTTATACGCAACACTAAACACTATAAGGCCACTACAAGTTAATCTTTAGTTTCTGGTCCGGCCTTACCTTCGTTTACGACGCGGGCGGGCGGGTGGTTAGGACTATAGGACATAATTACAATTGTGGTTTTGCCCACATTTTTGTGGTCTTTCTTGTCCCTTTTCATGCTAATTGTATCTAAATGTTATGAAATTTTACATAAATTGCATTTACATTATTTATAAATCGACATGTATGACAGATTACAAAGGATTTTACATATCAAAATGATCTACTAATATTTCTAGTTTTTTTTTACCTCGTAATCTCGATAAGGCAGCGGTTTTACCATTCAATACTACATTTTGCTACGTCTTTTTAGTGTAAATTGAATATTTATCGTTCTATAAGTTAAATCCTTCGCGAAAATTTTCAAGAACTAGAAATTAATTGTAAATAACAAAATAGTCCTGAAATAATACTTTACGGAGAAAGGACGCGGGCGGCGGACCAGAAACTAAAGATTAACTTGTAGTGGCCTAAAGTTTTTATATAAAAGCAACACTAGAATATGTTTTTATAAAAATACAAACAATAAACATAATATACTGTTACTATCAATACTTACATCCAATTTACTTCTTTTGTTATGTACGATCAAAATATCTTTCGTATCAATGCATAGTAGACTTCCTGGGCCACCAATGTTGTTGTCTCATTCCTTGCTCAGTGCATTCCTCGAATCCGCCATTTTGTTTTTTTTCTTGCTACCTCATCCATGGGAGGTAATATCTACCCCTATATGATCCCCCCGCCATGTTACCCTTTAATTAATATATGTACCCCTGCCCCTGTATATTTCTCTGTTTAAATTTTACCCTAAATACAGGAGCAGCAATGCGTGTTAAACAAAACTATAATTGAGATTGCATTAGGAAAGTAAAGCTTCTGAATATAAATAAACTGATGGTTGCCCTGAAAAATTACGCGGTATTAATTAAAACTGTAGGCGGTGAATTTGCAAGTAGCTCATGCTTTAGCGCCATACATTTGATCGCGCCGTTTTACCTTTTTCGCAGGAAAGTAAACTTTTCATTAAAAAATAACAGATGTTTATAATTCAAGAAGTCAATGATCGGACATTTCAAGCTTCTTTTTTAAAAATCCACCACTTTGTAAGTTTTCCTTATAACTAACCTTACCCCAAGATGCATGGGGCAGTTTCTACGCCATAAAATTATTTTACTCCCGTAAAAGAGCAGTTATTGTCAGTCGTATTCATTGCCTCTTTAATAAGAGCAAAAGTTCTCCAAATTAATGGGAATTACCCCAAAGTTCTGGGGTAATTTGTTACCCCTAATGAAATACTCACTTGAATGTGGTAAATATTACCCCAAATTTGGGTAAAAATTACCACCTGAAATTTACAGTGCAGCAGCAAATTGTTCAATGTTAGTTCATGCTTTTAATCATTTTTTCATGCAAGTGCCTGCTGCAACAGTCTAGCCGTTCACTCGGTGCCAAAAAGGATCAGCTTGGTAAGCTTGTGTCGTTTTGATGGAACGTTCTCCCGAACAATTTGCTCTGAGTAAACTTTGGAAAATTGTTGGAGAAAGATCTTAGCATATAATTCGGAGCGATTGCAGAATACCCATCCATTTTTTAAGCTATGCCTTTCAAACATCGTGGATACGATGTTTTAATCAGCTGACCAATTACATCAGGTTTTATTTTGAGAAGGAAGCATACAGTTCTAGTTTAGCATTCAAGATCAAATTCTCATGGTATATAGGTAGCTGTATATTTTAGTGGATACGCGGATACGTGGATACGCAGTGAGTTAGTTATTTTGAGAACGAGGCATACAGTTCTAGTTTAGCATTAATAGATCAAATTCTCATGTTATACAGATAGCTATATATTTTAGTGGATACGCGGATACGTAGATACGCAGTTAGTTAGTTATTTTGAGAACGAGGCATACAGTGAGTTTAGCATTAATAGATCAAATTCTCATGCTATATTGGTAGCTGTATATTTCAGTGGATACGCGGATACATGGATACGCAGTGAGTTAGTTATTTTGAGAACGAGGCATACATTCAGTTTAGCATTAATAGATCAAATTCTCATGCTATATTGGTAGCTACATATTTTAGTGGATACGCGGATACGTGGATACGCAGTGAGTTAGTTATTTTGAGAACGAGGCATACATTCAGTTTAGCATTAATAGATCAAATTCTCATGCTATATTGGTAGCTACATATTTTAGTGGATACGCGGATACGTGGATACGCAGTCGACTAGTTATTTTGAGAACGAGGCATACAGTTAGTTTAGCATTAATAAATCAAATTCTCATGTTATAGAGATAGCTGTATATTTTAGTGGATACGCGGATACGTGGATACGCAGTGAGTTAGTTATTTTGAGAACGAGGCATACAGTAGTTTAGCATTAATAGATCAAATTCTCATGTTATATAGATAGCTGTATATTTTAGTGGATACGCGGATACGTGGATACGCAGTGAGTTAGTTATTTTGAGAACGAGGCATGCATACAGTGAATTTAGCATTAATAGATCAAATTCTCATACTATATATAGGTAGCTCTATATTTTAGTGGATACGCGCATACGTGGATACACAGTCAACCAGTTATCCGCTGACCATTTTTGATCGCTTAACTATATAAAATCGACTGCGTATCCACTGAAATATATAGCTACCTGTAACATGAGAATTTGATCTATCTGAAATATTATAGTATAACAAGTACTGACCGCGTATCCGCGTATCCAGTGAAATAGTGGCTTGATGATATGATATAACTAGTGGACGGGTATTCTGCAATTTAGCCTATAATTCTGTGATATTTTGGATCAAAACAGTGATGTGGTCGTCGTTACAATTCTCGTCAAGCACGTGTGTTTCCTGCGAATGTTTTTGTAAGGACTGGAATGCAGTTGGCTTAGTTTGCTTAAGAACATCACGTATATATATATATATATATATATATCAACCGTCATGCGTAGCGTATCAACCTCCAAAATGTAGGTTTTCATCCAACAGAAAAGTATACCGAATCTACATAGAGAAAACAAGGACATGCTTAATATTTAAGCTTTTGGCTTGAAAAGAAATCCTAATCCGTACAAAAAGAATGGGAGACCCTTTGACTGTCCCGGGGAGAGAGAAAAATATAGGAATATACGAACAAAGTTGAAACACATAAAAATGATTAGTCAATACTTTTTTAAAATATGACCCAACTAATTTCATGCATGCGCTAACCTACGGCAACATGCATGTATACGTGTTGAGTGTACCTAAGATATTTTGGTTGGCATATATATATTCTCACCAGTCTGGCTAATAATAATTAAAAAAATACACAAATCGCATGCAATCTTAGTCGAAAAACGAGTAATCTATCATAATGCAAATAATAAAGTATACTATACAAAACTTAAGGGTGTCCAATGTCAAGTCTGTGTTCATCAAGTCTGTCGTTGTCCAGAATTTGAAGTTATAGCAATATCTGCGTCATGTTGGTACTTTCAACCACGGGGGTTTCCAAACGGTATCCTCCTTTACGAGACACATATTACCACTTGGATTGTAGCACTCGGCTGGAAGGTAACTTGAATTGCAAAGTAATCATCTGCCTGAACAATTGTCCCTGAAACTGGGGCCACAAGTACTAGTTTGATGAAGAACACTAACGTCAAAAAACATTGACAGTTCATCAGGCCGTTCCTGCACCAGTTGGTAGATATATATATAATTTTTATTCCGTTTTTCTACGCGAGGTAGGGAATCGTTTACAGTCAATCTCTAATAACTATCAGTTTTTAATGTTCGTCTTCTTGTAGTAGTTTCCTTAATGAGTTCACTTCAGTCTTCAACTGGCTTTCACTGTTCGTGATCTGTTCGTTAATTTCTTCATTTTGTCTTGTTTCGTTTGAGCTTCAGTAGCTTTTCATCATTTTTAAGCTTTATTCAGCGTACGTCCACTGAGAGATCATATCCACTGAGGGTTCATCCACTGAGAATCCACTGTTACGACAACTTTTCTTCAATTAAATTTTACTTCGGCTACGTTCACTCGATAGTCCACTGACGAATTTCGGTTGTGCACGCACTTTTATACTAACGGTTGAGGGGATCTTTGTACACGTGATGTAGTAAGTGGTGTGATTTGTATCCAGCCAATCAACGTTGAGGTTTTAAAAGTGTGGGTTGGCGTATCTAGCTCGTTCCAGCTCTCAAATTATGTTTATTTAAGGCGTTGTCGCACTGGTCGTGTCGGTTCGCTGTTTAATCGATCAATATTAAACTATGTTCACAACTTAAAATACTTATCAAAATATCATAGTAAAAACTTCAAACTATACCTATGTGAACCTTACTTTACCTATTAAACTAAATTTACTTTCAATTTTATTGAACCAAAATTTTGATGACGTAATGTTATCATTACTCAACCGCGTGAAATATACCGAAGAATGATTGATAGAAAGGCCCTAAGCATGCACATTTTCATGTCAGAGAAGAACCAGCCTTGGACTTTGAATTATGTAAACACAGCAGCCCACCATGCAAGGTTATCGTCCAACTTTGACAGTTTGACAAATTATTTATCTTGCCTAATGGACAGATAATTGACACACAAGTCCGAAATGATATATACTTTATCTGCGTTTTACAGCAAAAATGCTCATTATCTCTCCATTTGACGTAACTAGTATTTTATAATTACCTGGGGTGCAAACTGAACTATTTTTATACTATTTAGATATACTTTCGTAACAAAAATATTAATTAAATCAATGATATATACCTTTAAACCCAACACTTGATTCACATAACCATTGATAGGATTAATATTAACTCACAAAACTGGAAGTTTATATTACCGAAATCAGTAGAGTGTCTTTTCCGGAAGTTGAAAAGACAGTCAAAAGCCAGTAGAAACTTTCATGTTTTATGACGTCACGATGAAAGAATGTAGCATGGAACTTGTAAGTTATTTTACTTATTAGTAACTCCCTGTAGTAACTTTGCATTTCTTCTCCCAGTGCCTTCCCACGAATAAAAGTTCTCCCTAGTGTGAGGCGGTTTCTACAAAAAACCGAAAACCGACCAAAAAACCCGAAAAACCGAGTGAACAGGTTTTTTTAAAAAATATGTTCGAAAATCGGTTTAAAAAAGACAACAACACACGCTATTGAATATTTTAGACCTGTCTTCGCAGACGTCTGCCTTTATTACTAGCGAATCAAAATTCACCATCGCTTGATCCGCTTATTCGTTCAAGACTTCAAGCTCGCGCGAAATTGTAGAATGATATTTATAACGTAAGGTATTTTGAAGATGTCATCAAATTTCAAACAAAATCTCTTTAGTTTTCGTGTGTAAATGCCAAAACTTGATTCATTTGCAAGAAACTCGTATAAGTATGTTTCGATTTCGGTTTGCCCCCGTTTTTTTCGGTTTTTCTCCAAAAGTATAAACATCGTCATCGAGTAATTCGGTTTTAAAAAAACATCAGTTTTTGTCGGTTTACCGAAAAACCGCCTCACCCTAGTTCTCCCTTTGTTCAAAAGCTTGTTTTGTGTTTGGCGAGCCATTGTCACTTTGTCAAACTAAATAAAGTTACTAAGTAAGTAAAATAACATACAAGTTCTACGCTGCATTCCTTCACCGTGACGTCATAAAACATGAACGTTTCTACTGGCTTCTGACTGTCTTTTCAACTTCCGGAAAAGACACTCTACTGATTTCGGTAATATGACACTTTGATAATTAAAAAGTTAGAAACTGAATTGATTGTTAGATTATGTAATTTATTGTTGTAAAAGAAACTAAAAGGTTCACAAAATATGGTTTTCCCGCTTGAAAACAACAACTACACCGATAATGGCGGATCTAAATAACGTTCAACGAACGTATATAACTGTATTACGGTACGTTATGTTAATTTATGCTAAATAATATCAACCATATAAATATAGTTTAAATTAAACTTTAAACACTAAAAGTACTTATCTCAACACCCCCACTCAGACTCAGCTCGTCCTTAACTATGATGAGTCTGACGTGTTGTTGATGTTCTTAATTCCCTAAGAGTACTGTTCTGTGTTTTTCCACTTTCACTCGAGGTAATGATTTCGTCAGAATGTCCGCAGTCATTTCTTCGGTTGGAACATAATGTATCTTTATTTCTTTATTTTCTACGAATGAAGTGTAGCTTCATGTCGATATGTTTTGACTGTTTATGCATCACGGGATTGTGACACATCTTAATGCAGGATTGGTTGTCTTCTCCAATATCTGTCGCTTTCTCCATTGGGAAACCAAAATCCTTTAGTAGAGCTCGTAAGTAGATTGCTTCTTGTGCAGCAGCCGCCATGGCTTGATATTCCACCTCCGCTGTTGATAAGGCAATGGTTGCTTGCTTCTTTACCTCCCAACTGATGGCACTTCCATTTCCTTTGAATTTAAAGTAGTATCCAGTTGTCGATTTGCGATCGTTGAGATCCCCACTCCAATCTGCATCCGAATCGCCAACAATATCACAGCTGGAATTCTTCAAGAATGTTAATCGTAAGTCGGTATAGTTCCTTTGAGGTATCTCAGTACGCGCTTTGCTCCCTTCCAATGTGATTTGTCAGGTTTATCGAGAAATCGTGACAGCTGTTTAACAATATTTAGAATATCTGGACGGGTTTGTTTGCCAATGAATAAAAGAGAGCCAACTAAACTTCTATACAGCTTTGGATCTACTAATTTCTTTCCTCCGTTACTTTTGACTAGCTTTAGATTTACTTCTGCGGGTGTTGCTACAGCTTTGCAATCACTCATGTTAAATTCTTGGAGAACAGTTTCGATATACTTCGTTTGATCCACTGTAATCTTGTCGTGCGATCACAGGATTTGCATTCCTAACAACCAGTTTAGGTCGCCACGATCATCCAACTTGAAATTTTCATTTAACATTGACTTAATTTTGTTAATTGCTTCTTCGGTCTCTCTAGCCACTACTATATCATCTACCCAGACTAACACATAGGAAAATGTTCCATTTTCTTCCTTTCTTACAAATAGGCAACAGTCGTTGCAGCTTCGTTTGAATCCTTTCTTGAGAAGTAGACTTGTCAGAGCTTCATACCAGTTTTTCGCAGCTTGTTTTAGACCATAGATTGCTTTGTTCAATTTGCACACAAGTTTTTGTCCTGAGTTTGCTTTCTTGACAAACCCCTCTGGCTGCTCCAGATAAATTTGTTCTTCTATTTTGGAATGAAGGTAGGCTGATTTCACGTCCATCTGACCAAGATATAAGTCCTTTCGTGCTGCAGTTGCTAATAGAATTCTAAAAGTTTCTGGTTTGCATGTTGGAGCATATGTGTCAAAGAAATCTAGGCCTTCGATTTGAGCATGACCCTTTGCTACGTATCTTGCCTTGAGCTTATCGACTTGGCCGTTTGCTCCATACTTTACTTTATACACCCATTTTCCAGGTAAGACTTGTTGATCTTCTGGTTCATCGACTAATGTCCAGGTATTATTGTCCATTAGTGACTCGTACTCTGCTTGCATAGCTTTTCTCCAGTTTTCTGCATGCGGTGAACGAATTGCTTCATTATACGACTTGGGTTCTTGTATGTTTTCCTCTTTTGTTATGTTAAACGTGTAGGATAATCCATATTGTTCCGGGGGGCGACGATTTCTGCTTTCTCTGGGGAGTGCGACTTCGTCTTCCTCAGGGTTTTCTTCGACTTGATGTGGATTTTGGACAACAGGTGTCTTATCATTTCCCCCCACTCTAGGTTGGACCGGTATCTTTGTGGCTTCGTCATTCGAGCGATCATCTTCAAAATCCATGTTTGGACTCACAAAGTTTGGGTTGTCCGGACTCATCGTTTCTCTGGCTGAGAATGACTGGATTTCGTTCTCTTTGAACATGACATTACGTGCTTTGATGACCTTTTTTGAGTCGAATTCTTACAAGATGTAGGCTGTGCTTTTGTCATCATAACCGATAAATTTGGCTTTCACCGATCTCGAATCCAGCTTCTTCATGTTGATCTTTCTTTTCATAACATATGCCGTGCAGCCAAAAACTTGTAGGTGATTGCGCCTTGGTGGTTTTCCGGTAAAGAGTTCAAAAGGACTCTTTCCTTGGTTGCTATTGGCAGTTATTGTAAGATTTCGTATGTGAGCTGTTTTGGATAAGGCTCTTACCCAGTAGCACTTTGGAAACTTGGCGTGGATTAACAGAGACCATCCCATTTCAACTACAGTTCGATTGAAGCGTTCTGCAACTCCGTTCTTTTGTGGTTTACTAGATTGCTTTCCAAGTGCACACGTTTCGCATACTTCCTTCAAGTTATCTTCACAGCCAATGGTGCATTTGACGTCATCCTTGTTTAAGTGTCCGAGCCTTTGGTGCCACAGATTAATACCTCCTTTGATTGCTGCTTTACTTGTGTTGTAAGTGGTAGAATGACATGCACTGGACCTTTGAAAGGTAATCTTCAGATAAAATAAACCACTGTCTTCAGTGAGATCGACTTGTGGACCATGATTTAATCTTAACTTTGCTTCACTTTTATTAAAAACGAATTTGTGTCCAAATCTGACGGATCGATTGACAGAAAGCAGGTTCACTTCATAGTTTGGCACATAAAGTACGTTTCGTAGAACCATTTATTCCTCTTTTCCATTTTTCAGATGAAGCTTTACTGGTACATCACCAATTCCTTCAACAGGAGTAAAATTTCCCTTTGGATCTTTAACATTTTTGATGCTGCAAGGTTGTAAGTTTTCAAACAGTTCATTTTGGCTAATGATGTGATCAGTACAACCAGTATCGATAATGAGATGGTTTGGTTTGCCAGTAGGCCTACCACTGCTTGTTTCAGTACCACTGTTCATACATTGAGAATATGATGCAAATGAGTTGGGTTCTTTTGTGGATTTATCAGGTTTACTTGAACTTCTGCATGTTTTTGGTAAATGTCCCTTTTTCTTGCACTTTGAGCAGTAAGCTGAACTTCTTTTACTACATTGCTTGGCGAAATGTCCATGGTTTTCGCATACAAAACAATCTCCCTTCGGGTTGCTTGGACCTTTGTTTCTTCCTGATGTATTTCCAGAATACATAGCTGTTGCACTATCTTCTTTTGCTTGATTTCTTTGTAGTCGACTATCATCATAATTTTGTAAACGTGTTCGTAATTCGGTGAAATTTGCTGCAGGATTAAAACTTTCCTGTACGATGAAGTGCTCATATTTCTCTGGAAGTCTGTTTATAACTAAGGCATTGAATAGTGTTTCTGATATCTTTTCACCAGCTTCGGTTAATCGAGACATTAATTCTTTTGCTCGTATAAAATATTCGGATAATTTCTCATTTTCATTTAATTGTAATCGATAAAATTTGACGAACTAGACTTACTACAGTTGGCTTTTCCACGTTGGAATATCTCTGTTGTAGCAAACGCCACGCCTTTGCCCTGTCCCCAACACAATCTGATGACAGGCAATCATGTCTTATATATAAAAGACTGTTATTGTCGAGGGCTAAAGCAATATGACACCATACCGTATTATTTCTTTCTTCAATTTCTTCGATTTGTTTATTTCTTTGTTGAACTTTTGCCTCCCATTCGGCCTTCTGCTCGTCTGAAGCATCCTCTGCTAGCGGTGCTATCTCTTCCGGTACGACTTCTTTCCCGAGAAGCGCTTTGTATAAACCTTTCGTTTGCATATACGCGGTGAACTTTGTGCTCTATGCTGGGTAGTTTTCAGCTTTTCCGTTAAAAACTAGCCATTTTATCGTTTGGCTATCCATTACCACGATCCTGTGCCCATAACCTGTTAGATTATGTAATTTATTGTTGTAAAAGAAACTAAAAGGTTCACAAAATATGGTTTTCCCGCTTGAAAACAACAACTACACCGATAATGGCGGATCTAAATAACGTTCAACGAACGTATAGTCATGTGTCCGATGTACTATATATATAACTGTATTACGGTACGTTATGTTAATTTGTGTTAAATAATATCAACCATATAAATATAGTTTAAACTTTAAACACTAAACGTATTTATCTCAACACTGATATTATAATTATGATATTTGTAATTATCCAGCATAATAAAAATATATACAATTTGCAGTATATAATACAATCATGTGTAATATAACTTTACTTCTTTATATGTGATGCAACAGAACGCCCATCCTCCTCAATTCTAATCGGATCGTGTCTTTTCAAATGGTTGTCTCATGAGGAAAGGTATTCAAAACACAGTTGACACCTGTCACCTGACACATCCTTTCTGGTAATTTTCGACACCTGCAAAGAATCTGACACTCTTGATTTTTTCTGTCAATTGGATTATATTCTCTATCTTACTCCAGTCCACACAAGAAATGCTGCTTTGCGTATATTTATCTGTGGTGAGTTCATTCACCAGAATTGGCATGTCAGAAGCAGTACTTGTAGCCGAAGGAACTTTTTGCTGGTCGATTTTGGTGGATAAAATCTTTCAACATAGAAACTACCGTATCCATCTTTTCTTCTAGGTTACTATGGCCAATTGACAATGTTTTGTCTAAGCTTTGATGAGTTGGTGATAAAAGACCATCTTCACTTTGACTGGAATAAATTGTTTCCTTTGTGATTTCCAATTTTTTCAGGCAAATACGTTTGTAGGTATCTAAGGCTTCTGCAGCAATTGGAGCAGTAGCATCAACAAATTGGACAAGAGGTGTTTTCATCCCACCATGTGCTTTTGAAAGATGCCTTTCTTTTGTTTGCTTATCACTTCGACAAAGATAATAGTTATAAGGGGACATGGATTTATCAGCACTGAAAAAGAAGTTTCATTGGTTTAATATTGCTAAAAGCATGAAAGCAATTTGAGGCAGACTTGAGGGAATTGAAAGGTTCATGGAAACAAAGCTGCAGGCAGTTGTTTGCAGTTCTGATTTTTTTGGAAAATCAATATATTCAAATTTTTACATCTGATTATACATTGGTGCAAGCAATTTTCCTGCAAGAGTAAAATCGTCTGACATTAGACAGATTAAAAAAACTGTCATATGAATGTGCACAATGTCACTAAAAGGGTTAAAAAATGGTACTAAAAATGTACTTTGAATTTACAATTCATATAAAAAACCCTGTTTCATCAAATTGTATATAAACAACAATTGTGGGTTGCTACCAAATCCCTTTGTCAATAATGTATAGACGTTTTTAAAATTGTTTCTAAAATTGGCATCCCTTCAGTGAAAGCATCACTCAGACACATCACTCATTCTGTAAATATTATAGAATGATATGGTCTGATATGTTAATCGAGTTGTGAGCAGAAAAGTATGGAGTTAGGAAGGGGACAAAATTCAGGTCAGATATCATAGGGGCGATTTATAACATAGAGTGGCGGTACATGCTGTCGATTCACAACGTCGAATGGCGTTTCATGTCTTCGAGTCGAAGGTTTTTGTCTTCGAGTCGAAGGATTATGTCTTCGAGTCGAAGGATTATATCTTCGAGTCGAAGTTTACAACTTTAACTCGCGTGTCGTGTCTTCGAGTCGAAGTTTTATATCTTCGAGTCGAAGTTTACAACTTTAACTCGCGTGTTGTGTCTTCGAGTCAGAGGTTCTTGTCTTGGAGTTGGACAGCGGTTTCATTTCTTCACGTTGAACCTTATGGTATTTTATGGTCAGCGGATCAACTGTCCATTTGACAATACTTCATCTTTTTACAATTTTGCTTTATAAAAATATCTAAAAATCATTGAGCTACAGTAGTAAATTAATACTTTTCTTCATTACAATATGTAATACAAGTATGTCAACAACTATTAGTTCACCGTTGGTTTCTCCTGGCGATAACTTGAAGCAGTTTATCTGCAGAAGTCTTACTGAAGTGGTTAGACTTTTTGAAGGAGTATCATTGAATAATGACCGCACTCAATTTGAACATGCATTATACAAGTTGGAACAAGTCATTCAAATTGGAATTAGCAGTTGCGAACAAGGTTTATGGCATCAAGTATTTCTGGAACATTTGCTGGATACACTTATTTATGCATTTAATACATTACTCGAGGAAACCATGAGTTTACATTCAGATTGTTCAACGATGCCAGTGAGAAAACCAGCTACTGTTGCTAAAGATTCGGCGGGCAAGCCCGCATTTGAAATAAAAAGGGAAACACTAAAACTTTTTATGAGCTATGGCTTCTCCTTAGTTAAGATTGCTGAAATGTTAGGTGTCAGTGCCAAGACAATAAGCCGAAGAATTAAGGAATTTGGTTTAAAAGAAGAGGTCCCCAAATACACAGATATTACAAATGATGACCTTGATAAATTAGTTTCAGATATTTATGGAGAATTTCCAAATTGTGGTGTTCGAAGAATGAAGGGATTTCTAACTGCAAGAGGTATAAATTTGCAATGGGAGCGTGTCAGATCGTCACTATGCAGAATTGACGCCGAGGGCATTATATTGAGATCAATGCAGTTAAATTTAGTTAACCGAAGGCGATACTTTGTACCTGGGCCACTATTCTTGTGGCACTTAGATGGCAACCATAAGTTGATTAGATGGGGATTCGTTATCCACGGGTGTATTGACAGCTACTCGAGGCGGATTATGTTTTTGAAAGCAAGCACCAACAATCTAGCAAACACAGTGTTTAGTCTTTTCATCAAAGCTGTTGATACGTTTGGTCTTCCACAAAGAGTTCGGGGTGACCAAGGGATAGAAAATGTTGATGTGGCATGGTTTATGCTATCAAACCCTGCCAGAGGCCCTGATCGTGGTAGTTTTATAGCAGGAAAGAGCTGCCACAATCAGCATATCGAAAGACTCTGGAGGACGTCTTTCATGGTTGTACATTCATTTTTTACTATGTCTTCTGGTATCTTGAAGAAAATGGTTATTTGGAAATTGACAATGAATTACACATGTTTTGTTTACATTATGTATTTCTTCCTAGAATAAATCGACATCTAGATCTATTCAGAAATGGCTATGATAATCACCCATTAAGAACTGAATCAAACATGACACCAAATCAGTTATGGGTGTATGGTTTAAACCAAGTTCATAGCGGCCACATTCCAACCTCAGAACCAACAAGTGCCAATATGTATGGTATTGATTTTGAAGGACCGTTGCCATCTCGAATCTACAACGGTGAAACATTAAATTAAATTTCCGTCTATGTTCCTCCTGTTGCAAGCCCATTGAATGACAGCCAACTCAACTTACTTCGTTAATTCAATTGTTGATCCATTAGCATCATCATCATCACATGGACTGGATATATATTTAAACACAGTACAAATCATTCATAATATGCTCCAATCAAGTGTAACCAGTCATCATTGTGGATAACCTCAAAATAATTAAATTAAACATAAAATACACTTTTACTATTTAACAATTAGTTGTTGAAGGCGATGTGATTACAGCCTATGTTCTATAGACTTGTGATCACCGAGCGTCAGACAAGCATAATTTCAGTATTGAAAAAGTGTTATTTATAAATACAACTAATATACATGTTTATTTTATGAATATAATTAGCATAAATAATTTACTTCCGTCTGACTTTCAGCCATTTTTTGGAGAAACAATACAATCAATAGCTACTGCTCTGAGCAGTAACTATTGCCTCAGAGTTACCAGTTAGAGGGAGCCAATCAGAATGCTTAAAGGCCATTTTTCAATACTGAAATTATACTAATTATTGATGGTGATATAATCACAATTTGGTTACAATTTCATTACATGCTATCATCAAGTACAGTATATTAGTGAAATGCAGTAGGTTTGCTAACTTAGGAAAATAGCATGTAATTATGCTCGTACTAAGTATACTTGACTGTTTGTCATGGAATTATTATAACTCACAACTTTGATAATGTTCACATTATGACCAGTGATGATTGTTCGAAGGTTTCAACAGCTTGTAAACTGTAACAGTTCATAGGCAAACTAGTGACAAGCACTTATAAAAAAGGACCAAAACCAAACATACTTGTTACGAATTAGTATTTGCATTTACTTATTAATTACAATGTGACATTAAGAACTGAATCAAATACTGTTTCACAAAATGCTGTTTGTAAAACTTTAAATATTTCACTGTTACTTAACTTGTGTCTACCTTAAATAAACTCCCTATAATTAATTTTGAAAGTATCAATAATCAATATATGTAATGTTAAAACCCACAAAAAAGAAATAGTGTTTCAAGTTTGACAATGACAGGCTGACATACAGTATGTATTAGACAGACCTTTCAACTTCTATATATAAAGCATGTCTGGGTAATGTACATAACATTTAATTCAATATTGCAAACACAATATTAACTTGTTGTTAAGTTATTATTATAAATGAAACATTTTTGTTGCACAAGTGAAATACAAAAATATATAATAATCACTACAGCCTGTCATCAAAAAGCAATGGTCTTTTATGTGGGTTTTTACTGTCACAAGTGAAACAATATCAATCAATGCATAACCCAGTGGGCAAAATGACGTTTATGCAACGTTGAATCAACGTTGGAAATGACCTTCCAGACGTTGGATAGACGTTGAAAAAGGGTTGACTATGAAATTGGATCTACGTTACTGTTTCGACGTGGAAACAACGTTGAAATTAGGTTACCAATCTCGTCAGCCATAATTCAACGTTGAATCCACGTTAAAACAACGTTGAGATTGGTTCACAAATCGACGTCGTACATTTAACCATGAATGAACGTTAATTCAACGTCTGTTGGCTGCTGTTGAACCAATGTTTGTAAAACAACGTCAGAGCAACGTAGAT